TTGACTCTATTCACTTTCTCTCTCCCTCCTCTTACCATGTGCATTGACAAGGTTCAGCCCTAAGCTTTGCCTGGGGCCAGAATGATCTCTCTGTTTTTCCCATCTCCCATATCACACATCCTCCACTACAATCGGCGGACACAATGTATTCACAATGCCATCAGGGGGTAGAGAACACACACAAATAAAAAATGACAAAGACATCCACGATTGTCTGTAACACGATAGCTTGTATAAGCACAATGAGGCAGCAAAGCAATGTATTAAAAACCTACAAAAAGAGAGCAGCACAAGACAGTCTTCTGCGGTCATATCTGAAAAAGCGACTTATGTCAGAGCTTGTTAATTTTTAAAATAATCACACATCACCTGTTTCATTTTTTTCTCATGGGACTTTCAGCCAGCTTGTGAGGATCAAAGGGAAAAGAGTAAAAGAACTAAGTTTGATTGAGTGTGTTACTTTGACAAATGTGTACAAGAGAAAGGCATTTTAGGTATGTTCCTGATCTGCTGCTATTTTGACAGAATGGGGCTGTTTTAGGCTAAATTATTCTAATCTATTAGAGAGGTTTAGATCGCTGCAAAACTTGAGTAAGAAGCAGTGGTTTGTAGGGGTTTTTTGAAGGTTACTTCCTGTTCTTTAATGTGCTGGAGGTTTTTCCTGTTGGTAAGAGCCCCCCGCTGAGGGCTCGTGTTGGTTTAAGGATGTCAAGTTCCAGCTAAAATATTGTACACATGTCGAGACACACACGCCATGTTTTCATACAGATTAACCCTCTCCTTGCAGAGCTTCACTTTCTTGTGCTGGAAGCTACTTTTAGCCTTTTGTTGTAGCCTTTTGATTACCACTGCAGAACTTTTCTTTTACAGTAAACTATTAGAGACCACTCGTGCTTCCTGCTCCCTCCCTGGATCCCGGTTGTGTCTTTGTGCGCTGAAGGTGATCTAACCATAAAACCCACACAGACAATGCTCCTTCGGCAGTATTAATTTCCATTTTATTTTCCCAAGAATGTAAAGATTATATGTCTTACTTCTCTTTTCTGTCTAAGTAATTCTATATAATGTACACGCTGGATTTACACTCTGCAATACATTAGTTTGTGGCGTAGCTAAAAACATTTTACAGATTGTTACTAATAGCAGTAGTTTTGCACAATAATTTTAGGAAAAGACATGAAGATGCGGTGCTTTTGTTCTGCAATTTACAGCCATCTGTTATACAGGCGGTGTCCTGTTTTAGTGCGGAAAAACCCGACAAATAAAATATTGTGCTCATGATGACCGCGTAAAGGACTCTCCTACGATGCCTCTAGCAAGGTTGTGTTCTTGACAAGGCAGTCATTTGAGTATAAGGGTCAGACACAGGTAGAGATTTTAATGGCACATCCTGTTTACCCTGCTTGTGTTGGGTGTGATCCGGCTCCCAGACTGTTTCCCCAGCTGTGAAAACCAGATCACAGACACTCCCTTTGGTCATCAAGGGGGTAACTTAAGAAAGGGGTCTAGAAGAATTTGTAGCTCGATGGAAACCTATTTGTGCGTTCCGCAAATTTACATTTGCTAATAAATACGTAATTATGCAGGCTACTGAGTGTTTCTCCTTTTTGCAAATGTAAAATTACATAGTTTTTGGTTTTCAGGAACATGCGCCGTGTTTTCCTTATGCATACAAAAACTGTTTAAAGCGTAGCATCAAAAACAATGTTTTCAACTGCACTTGAGGAGAAAAAACCCAAAGGACAGAAGGAAAGAGACAGACAGAAAGCGACACTTAAAGCCTCAGCTTTAGAGGCAGCCACAGCACCTTCCTGCTTAATCACCCCCCTGTCCCTGCCCTCTCTGTTGTTCCTGATCGTCAGAGCAGCACTGCAGTATTTCTATCAGATGATCTCTCCCTCCTCGTCTGCGGCCCTTATGTTTATGAAAATGATACTCCACAGGAATGCCTCCTGCATGCCAAGATGTCACTGTCTTTCCTCATCGCTTGCATCTACATGCGTGTACAAGTGTGTGTTTGTGTTTGTTGGGGGGGGGTCATAACCGACTGAGTAGTTGTGTTTGCAATTATGCGAGAGCGTATTTGAGGTTGTGTATTTTTACATTAGGTGAAACGTGTGTTTCGGCTTGCGAGAGTTCGATTTTCTGCAGTTTGTGTGTTTGTGTGAAGTCGTTATTGCTATTTCTGTGTGAGCTGTGACTGAGATGTTGAGTGTGTGAATGTGCACCTCCTACCCCTCTTAACCCCTCCACCCCATTTCCCCTCCCTAAAGGAATCATTCATAGAACCTAATGATTCTTGTCTTTCCCCCACATGGCTTCAGCTCAGTTTATCATTACATGAACACACACGCAATCTCCTTTTTTTTTCTCTGCTTCTCACACCAACGCACACACTAGGAAAATTCATACATTGGTCTTACACCATATGCTCAGATATTAGTTAAGACTGCATCCAGGAGTATTGTTGTATTCATAATATTCATAATTTATTCTAAGGGAGCCTCTATACTCCCATCACCTTTTATTAGCTTGATAAATCACCTCTGTTGTCAGTCAAGGCAGGGAGAATAATTGGATGTGGTTGTCGCCCTGTGTGATGGATTATCAGTCATTGGGGATTAAATTAACAGATAGTGCTCAGACATAATGGTTTTTGTTTTGCATTTTAAATTGCCTGGGAGCATGGTTTGACTCTATAGGTTTTTATAGCCGGTCCTTTTGGACTTCACTCCCCCTTTCAGTGCTTTCTAGGCTTAATGACAAATGAACAATAAACCATAGGACTGGAGCTCTGTTAGTACAAAATGTAAAACATTTACTACCAGGTTAAGAAATAGACAGGGACCTGGCAAGGCTTACAAATGCAATGGCGTGATGTAGATGTAGAATTTATTCAAGCAACAGTTTGTTGAAATATCCAGACAATGCGAAGAAATGCTCGGAATGCTTTTGTGTTGAAGGCCGAGAAAGGCGACATGACGATTCAGTCAAGAGCTGTAGCTAGTCGATACACAAATGTGGTAACTACCTCATTCTGGCTGGTTTTAGTCGTTTAAATTAGAATCAGACATGACCTTCCAAAAGCAAAAGAAAAGAAGAATGTGGAAGTCACTTCAGCACTGGTTGTACAGAGATATCTCTCTTGCATGTTTTCCTGAGGGTGAGCAATTTACCTCCTCACCCACTTCGCCAGCCTCCCAGACCCCTCCCTCCCCTTCAACGTCCACATTATCATAATTGTGTCCAGAACATGAGGGGCCGGGGAAGTGATCATGTCATTTTATTTACACCCTGCTTGGCCCTTTTTACAAACGACATGCCACTGACTGCCAAGCGGACTGGGGCCCAACGACATCTTTTGATCAGGGTTGTCGGGGCCTATCAGCGGAGAATGGCAGGTAATGGATACCCAGTGACAAACCAAATCTCCGGGAGGACGAAGAGTGGGCCGCACCTGCCAGGTCTCCATTAGGCTGGCCTCTCAGTTGGGCTGCCTGCTGACTGTGCCCCCAGGGCCCAAATCAGACCAGCGCCAGCCGCATGGCTGCCTAGAGATTGGCTGTTAGCACTGGAAATGAGAGTTATTTCAGCTATGACATTTTTGTTTAGACTGGATGTGAGTGCATGGGGAGGTGGGGGGGAATGAAGGATTTAGTCACAGCGTGTGTGTGTGTGTGTGTGTGTGTGTGTGTGTGTGTGTGTGTGTGTGTGTGTGTGTGTGTGTGTGTGTGTGTGTGTGTGTGTATCTGTTTGTGTCCACACACATAGACTCGACTGTGCGTGAGTGCTCAAACCGTTTAGCCTATACCTAAAGGTTCTTGCCGTAGTATTTGTCTTGGTTTACAACATTGTCCAAATGGCCTCAGACCTGTCCACAGGCCATCCACTATTTTCTGAGAGTATTTGTTTTTCCTTAAGTTGAGTGGTTTTGTGAGTGAGGTGGTCAGGAAGCGAGGGAGCAGGGGCTCGGTGACACTGCGGAAAAGGGGGCGTGTGCTGGGCCAGTCGGTGCTAGGTGGGTAGGCTCATCATCACGAAAGACATAGTGGTTGTGTGTGTGGAGGGATGGGGGATGCAGTGCACACACACCAACGCACATAGACTCATCGGTCTCTGTGTGAGCTGTAGACGCCACCATGCAAAGTGACAGGTCACTTATGCATCGCCGTCGTGTCAGCGTCCTCAGTTTCGCCTCGTTCTCTTTATCCCCGCTTCCTTTGATTTTAATTATAGAATTCTTTGTCTGTTTAAAAATGTCTTATATGTGATATTTAACACTCTTTGGGTCTTTAGGTGTATAGTTTGAACAAGGAGTACTGATTATCTGTTGTATCAAAAAAAACTAGTGAACTTACTTCAGTGCAGATGAAACTGTGTGGTGTCTATTCAACATATCTGCATTTCATCAACAAAATTTTGACATCCCTTTCTTGAAATTCTTGAAGACATGCTCTTTGCCTGTGTGCGTGTGTGTCAGTATGTATGTGTGTGTAATCAGAGAAGAGGCAGATGAAGAGGCGTCAGACATATTAACTGACAGATGGAGGTTGATCCAACTCATTTATTACCCCAGAGGAGAATGCCACAGTGAGATTGGGCTTCATTAATTTCAGATTTAGTTTTCATTTCAAGCTGTTGCGCCCTGAGATAAATAAAATGGTGCATTATGTTTTTGCCAAGATATTTCTTTTTTGTTTTCCTCCAATAGAAGGAGTGAAAAGAGGGGAGGCATAAGTTCCGTGTGGCTGGGGTAGTATATAAATACAGGCTCGCCTAGAGGAAAATAACACCTCAACGGTTGATGAGGTGAAATGGGATGACTGTAATTTCTCAGCTCAGCTTTAAAGGCTCCCACACAGATGGCTCATTTATCCCTGGGAGTCCTCGGGCACACATAGCAGGGAAACTTTTTCTCCAGTTATTCTAACATAGCGTGTTCACTCCCTGCAATTTAACTCATCTCTTTCCTTCTCTCTTTGTCTTGGTTCTCCTTGCAGCTTATTCTCCCGACGAGCTGACAGAGCACCATGTGGAGGATGAGGAAGCAGAAGCGGACGACCTGCCCTCAACCCCTCAGGACGACCTTCCCATGAAAGATGAGTTTGTGGAGCAAAGTGTAGAGACTGCCAAGGAGCAGCCATGTGACCAAGAATCAGCTGAGACCACAGAGCTCTCAGGACAAGAGATGGACAGTGAGTCACATGTGAGTGAGACTAGTGACCGTCTTTCAGACTTCGAGAGCCCCTCCAGAAAAGTTGAGGGGAGCGTTGTCACAGCATCTATAAATGCTGACAGCAAGACGCCTCCCATAGGCGTGGACACGTTAGAACAAATGAAGGCTATCTACTCCAGCTTTCTCACCAGCCCCTTGTGGTCACCACTAAATTTTAACTCCACACCTCTACCGGCGCAGTCTTCGACTTCTGCAGAGAAGCCAGCTCGCAGTAACAGCACCAGTAGCAGTAGTAGCTGTAGCAGTGGTAGCTATGACTGGCACCAAACTGCAGTGGCAAAGACACTACAGCAGCATCCTCCACAGAGCCGTCACCCCGCTCAGTCAGAGCCCAGTCTCTTTAGTACAGTCCAACTCCACAGGCAAAACCCAAAGCTGTTTGGCTCAATCTTTACTGGGGCCAGTAAATTCCGTTGTAAGGGCTGTAGCGCTGCTTATGACACTCTGGTGGAGCTGACAGTTCACATGAATGATACAGGCCACTACCGTGATGACAACCAGGACAAGGCAGGCAGTGGCGCAAAGCGCTGGTCTAAACCACGTAAGCGGTCCCTGTTGGAGATGGAGGGAAAAGAGGATGCCCAGAAAGTTTTGAAATGCATGTATTGTGGCCATTCCTTTGAATCCCTCCAGGACCTCAGTGTCCACATGATCAAGACCAAACACTACCAGAAAGTGCCTTTGAAGGAGCCCATGGCCCCTGTGGCAGCCAAAATCATGTCTTCAAAGAAGCGGGGACTTGTGGGGTTAGACCTCAGTGCTACACCGCGCTCTAGAGAAGGAACCCCTAAAGCTAAACACCTACAAGGAGAACTTAGTGAATCCTCACAGAAACCTTCCTCCAGCCCATACACTCCCCAAAATAACCGCTATGGACACCAGAATGGTGCTAGCTATGCTTGGCAATTTGAATCCAACAAATTTCAGATCCTCAAGTGCATGGAGTGTGGGAGTTCCCATAATACACTCCAAGAGCTGAGGACCCACATGATGGTGACAGGACACTTCCTGAGGGTGACCAGCTCTGTGGGAAAGAGAATCAAAACACTTCCCGAGGCTACCTCCCCCAATCCCGGGAGAGTTACCACACCTACAGAACAGAGGGTCCAGTCTGTACCTCTTGCACCCTCTACCTTCTCCCCTCCGCCTCTTCAAACTCAACTTACCACAACTCCCCCGGCCACCTCCCCTCCCCTCAAAGAGATCAAGAAAGAGGAGGTTGAGGAGGAATGCACTAAGCAGGAGGCAATAGGAAATGAAAAGCAAGTTGCAGTTACTGTTAGTAAGGAGGAAGATACTGAGAGGGAGGAAAAATACGACATTTCAAAATATAACTACCTTACCGAAGAGGACCTGAAGGAAAGCCCTAAAGGGGGATTGGATATTCTGAAATCACTGGAAAACACTGTGACATCAGCCATCAATAAGGCACAGAGTGGCAATCCAAGCTGGGGAGGCTATCCTAGCATCCATGCTGCCTACCAGTTCCCCAGTGCCCTTAAGCAAGGAAACATGGAAAAGAATTCACAAATGAAGTTCTTGTTCAATGGAGGCGATGGAGTGCCGTCCTCCCTTGCCAAGAACCAGCCCCTCATTTCCCCACCACTTAGTCAGTCATCACTTTTTCCCAGCAACAACTTTCAGGCAATGGAAGACTTAGTGAAAAAAGTGACTGAGAAAGTAGCAAAAGTAGAACAAAGAGTTAAGCAGTTATCTCCAAAGAGGGAGAACCAATTCTCCCCCTGCAGCAGTGAGGCTGGAGAATCCCACAAGGGAGGGGAGGCAGACTCGCCTCGGGAATGGAGGGAAGTTACCCCAACCAATAGCGACAGGGGAAGCCATGGTGACAGAACATCTCCAGCAACCGAACCCAAGAGAGAAGCAGCAGTGAAATCCCCGCTTGCCTCTGCACTGAGATGCAGCACCGCCATTATCACTGGTCACACTCCTCCAGAGCAGCCCTTTGTCAACCCTCTAAGTGCTCTTCAGTCAGTAATGAACATTCACTTGGGGAAAGCAGCCAAGCCCTCTTTGCCAAACCAAGATCCCTTGAGTCTCCTCTCTAGGCTCAGCCAGAGCATGGCTGAGAAGGCCGCTGTGGCTGCTCCTCCATCACAGACCAAAAAGCAAAGTGTAGCTAATAACAATAGCTTTTGCCAGCCAAATGATGACCAACCCATGGACCTTACAAAAGGGAAAAGCGATCGAGGGGACTCTGTAAACTCAGCTCCTCTAACGCCCTCATCCACGGCCTCCTCAGTCTCTCCCATCTCTCTTGTTACTCCTGCAAAGCTAACAGTGGTCTCTCCATACACATCCAGCAGCCCTCTACACGAAAATGCATTGTCGGATATCTCAGACATGCTGAGAAACCTTACACAGTCCCACCATGTCACAAAGTCGGCGTCACGCCCACGTGTGACAGATAAAACTGAAGTTGTGGGCTCTACCCACGACGATGATGACGTGTCCCTGCATGGCCACAAACGAAAGGGTCGTCACTCCAACTGGAACCCACAGCACCTCCTTCTTCTGCAGGCCCAGTTTGCCTCGAGCTTGAGGCAGACGTCAGAGGGGAAATATATCATTAATGACCTCAGCCCACAAGAAAGAATGCACATATCTCGTTTCACCGGTCTCTCCATGACCACCATTAGCCACTGGCTGGCCAACGTGAAGTACCAGCTACGGAGAACGGGCAGAACGAAGTTCCTGAAGAACCTAGATTCCGGTCAACCTATATTCTTCTGCAGTGACTGTGCCTCGCAGATTCGAACCCCAGCAGCTTACGTATGCCACCTGGAAGCCCACTTGGGGTTCAGAATCAGGGACCTGGCCAAACTGTCTCCCAAACAGACTGTCAGGGACTCTCAGACTCTCACTGAGAAAGTAGTGCCCCTGGAGTCCTTTCTTCCTCCACAGTCGCAAGATGACTGCAGTAGTAATGGGGGAGTTTATCGCTGCCAGCTCTGTGTCCGTAAGTTTGCCACTAAGCATGCCATCAAGCTTCACCTCAGCAAGAGCCATGGGAAGTCTCCAGAGGACCATCTGCTATACGTGTGTGAGACGGAGAAATGTTAAATCCCTCTGAGCAGTAGAAATACTGTAAAACATATGTAGAATGACAGACTGTTAAAAAAGATAAAATGAAAAACAAAATATTTGAAAAGTGTGGTAATGCACAAAGTTGCCATGAACTACTGTTAAAAATTTCAGCACAAGGTGTTTACATCTATTCAGCCTATACACATTTCTGATTTCTCTGTATTTCAAAAGACATTTATTTCACTTTAAAATATACTGTAGGTCAAAGCTATTCAGCTCCCTCAGTCTGTGTTCACGTTTGTGAGACGGATTGTTTCACGATTATTTCGGTGAATCTTTTGACTCGAGAGTCAACTATTGACTTGAAATGTACTAATTTTATTGTATTTATTTTGTATTTTTGTGAGTTTGCTTTCGATTTGCTGGTAGACTGCATGTTTTACTGTTACATTTGTACAGTCCTATCCTGTCTAGATTTTAAAATGCCCTTCCAAACTGGTCATCAACACATTAAAACAGCCAAATGCCTGGGAAAGCTCCTTTAAAGAATCTGCCAAACAGCAGAAGTTCATTGCTTGTTTTATAGTTTTCTCTGTGCGGTCTTGTTTTTTTGCTGATTGTAAAAGCTGCCTTGTTCTTTATCACTGATTAAGGGGCACTAAAATCCAGGTCTGTGTAAAAATGTACATATAGTGTGTAAGCTTATGATTTGCTGTTTAAATTATGCATACTTGTTATATTTCCTAATTTAAGAGGACTATGACTATCCACTGGTGCAGAGCCTTTGAAGAAGATTAAAAAGGACACTGTTTTGCACAATAGTTTTATAAATGTTATTTGATAAAAAAAAAAAAAAACAATACAGATATGTTAATGCCTTGTGCTTCTATGATTAAATCAAATTAATTGCTGCAAAAATACATTGTGTTCTTTTATATTTGTTGATCAGGGTGGATTTAATGAAGACAAACATCACAGTATTGGCCGAATGTTGCCGAAAAAAGAGAACCTCAGCCCTCCCCTCTTTTGTCCCACTTTGAGTAAGCCTTTACAAATCAGCTGCTCACCAGGCTACATCTGCAGATACACTAAACAGAACTTTAAAACTCAACATTTTCCAGTGCAGTTGTCTCCACAACTACAATTTGTCAAGCGTTTGCGGTGATTTCTATGCTGTTGCGTTGTTGTGGAGCGGACTGTAGAGGTGCAAGCGGTGCCACTGCCTGCAAGGCGTCTGGCAGGTGGTGTGTGCTGCATGTAAACCACCAGATGTTTCTGAAACGAGCCACTGGAGGAGGAGGAGGAGGAGGCAGGCGAGCTGCAACAGCAGGCAGAGTGGGCTGATTACCACGGGGGCTTGGATGCCATCAGGAGCCCTGGGCATAGACAGCAGATCTGGCACACACCTGGACTCCAAGACTGTCCCTTGAAAAAAATAAAGCAGATCCTATATACGCACACTGAGACAAGTTGACAGTGGTGCAGAATGCACAGACAGGTGCTATTCCCTCAAAGCAGGCTTTTGGATCTAACAATATTACTGGCAGGTGTTGATGCTATCAGAGTAGTCACAATTCAGGCTCAGTGCCATATAATGAGAGTGTTGTTTTTTTGTTTTTTTAATATTTTTCAGCAGGCGTGATGGAGGCGCACGCACACACGCACGCACACACACTCGAACGGTCATATTTACTCTTTCAATTTTTGACCAGCTACCTTAGCCTTACTCGAAGACGCCTGGGGACATCATGTTCTTTGTGTTTGATGTTCCCACCTTTGCTTGTCATGACTGACTGACTAAGTGACTCAGGGCTGGGGAAGTTATATGGTTACTATGACGACGGCCATTTGCCCAGCCTCTAACCCTGCTCGTTCACTCAGCAGAGGACAGCTCGAGTGCAGCACACCCATTTACTCTCTTAAATCTCATCATCTCGCTTCAGTTCCTCCCACCCGGGAACAGATTAATTAACACACACACACTGTGTCCTGACCCCGTCTTCTCACACAAACTCATTACCGCCTCAGACTTGCTCCCAGCCCTCCGACGTTTAGGATACATTGGTGAAACGTTGTGGGAGAACCCAGCGATGACTCACATCTGACAAGCAGAATAAAGCCCTTAACAAAGGATGATAATTGAAAGATGGGATTCGGGCCGGTAGCCATTGATAATGCAAATGAAAAAGGCTGAGCACCCTTATTGAATATCTTGTGAGTTTCCAGAGCTTACCGAGTCCTCGCAGATATAAAATTACCTCTCAGACGTGATCAATTTTTTTCACCACTGTATGTGTTGATAACGCTTTGGGCTTAGTGATGGACTTGGGGTGAGGATGGTTGGGGACATTAATGAGATGGTTGACACTTTGGGGGTTAATGAGGGGCTGGAGGGAGAAGGCTAAATGATTGGACTTCTGCTTGAATGAGCATTATAGTGGCTGCTGGAGAGCAATGTAGAAGGAGCAGCTTTACTAAAGCCAATTATTTAGAATGAAGAACACAAACCTCCTCTCAGTTGTATTTTTCTGCAATAATAAAGAGGAGATTAGATGTGTTATCCATTGTTCTTTTGTCTTGACTTTCCTTGAGGGTTGGGTAGTTACAGACGCCGATGCGCCTCGATGCTCCTAAAACAAAGTCAGCAGTGAAGGGGGAAGGAAGGAGGCGGACAGGACAGGGATAGGATAGGAGGACAATGAGTCCCCCCACTCCTCCACTCCACAGATCTCCCATCAGCTCTTGTCATCCCTCTAATGAATATCAGTTAAATTGCTCTGTGGATCTGAGGAGTTTGGATGTCAATGTGATTTGTGTGAGTGTGGCGGATGGAGGGGCCCAGACTAATGAAAGGCGAGCCTAGCCTGACAGAGTGATGAGCATCAAGACCATCAGACCAATCACACAAGAGTGGCTGACAGTGCCAGCAGACAGACAGCTGAGAAGGAGAAACTATGTATTTAGGAAAACAAAATGGCTGCCAAAATAGTGGTGGATGTCTTCAGAGCACAGTGATATAGATCACTCCTGTCTCAGTGTGCACGAACAGTTAAGCTGATCCAGGCCACAATGTTATGTGCAAGTATGTGTTTCTGGAAATTCGTAAATTGCAATTTCTGTAGGGAAAAAAAGCCGGCCTTCTTCCCTTTAATCAGAGAAAATGTTAAAATATCAACAGGTCATGGAGATAAAATTATTAAAAGGACAAAAAAATAGTTTTTGTCTAGGTTTGTCTTGGCCTGACATCATGTGTGATGTTGCTGGCTACAATCAGCTCCCCACCCCATCATCTCCTTGCGTGATGAGACGGAAGACAATGTACGAAGTGTTGCCAATTCAAATAGCCTCCATACCAAAGATGATACAATGTCTTCTGACAGCAGCACAGGAGTCATGGGTTGAGTTGGCTTCACCTTGGACCCCTAATCCGTGTCGCTAATGTATGGGAGGAGTCGCACGCGTCTATGACAAGCGATATAGAGGTCATGGCCCGCCAACATTTGTGCAAAAAGGAACTGTTTTCATATTAAGAAAGTCGCAGTGTATAACAGGTTTGAGTTATCCACAAAATGCCACGATTATGAACAGAAGCGGTACAGAGATTGGAAAGCAGACAACTTTCAAAGAGACAAAGAGGTGAGTTTAAGGTGTCTGGATTCCCAAATGTGCCTTCTTTAGCGGGTGCAAGTTTTCATGCCGCTGTGTTGCAGTGCTCTGGCATTGCCTGAGATAGCTGTCAGAGGTATTTTGGTGTGATATCTGACAGATTTGCTAAAGACACTCGTCTCAGGGCAGTACTCTATATATTGTTAGTTTAATGCACAATGACATGACCAATTATAGCGAGCTCCATGCTCAAATAGCATGTCAAAACCTGTGTATCAATCCATTAGATCCTGTCTCCCATCACATTAAGTGGTACCTTTAGCTATCTGTTCAGCATGTAAAGAAAAATGCTGACTGAATGGAAAATCTGCCAGTGCTGCTCACAGAACTGATGTGTTTTGGAGAAAGTCTCTCTCTCTCTCTCTCTCTCTCTCTCGCTCCTTCTTTGTCTCTCCTTCCCTCTCTTTGCTGCTCTCTCGCTCACTTGCTCATCCAAGCCACGGAGCTCAAAATGCATAAACAATACATCTAGATAATGGCCCGCATTGTTTACTTAGCTCTGAAAATGTATTTGTGCAAAACTCTAAAATGCATTTAGGAGGAATCATTCACTGGGTGTAAAGCCTTGTTGACATTGGGGTGCTCTCAAAAGCAGGGGAAGTGTCATAACAACATCATATATCACTGTATCAATTGGAATAAGAGGGTATGATGTGCACTAGTTGTAACAAACCAGCGGATTCCACCAGTAGCTGCTTTGCCTCTCCCAGTATTTCTGCATCAACCTGCTTCGTTGGCCACGACAGTGGGTGGGAGGAGGTATATGATTTAGTGCAGTTGGTCCTAACGACCTCTCTGTCCTTGTGACGAGGACACTCAGCCTCGGGGCTCTGGCATGGAGGATGTGCCTTGGACCGCCTGGCACCTCGCCTGGCACCACGCGTGGCAACACGTCCACACTCTGCCACCCTTCTGATGGATTGGCCTGTCTCTAGTGCCACCTTCATGAAATCACTTTTTGATTTGTTGTCATGTTTTGCTCCTTTTTTTCCTGCTACTTGGGTTTTTCACGGGTAAGAACACCCTCTGGTCAGGTATTACAAGAGTGATTAAATTAACCTTCAATAAATCAGCATAATAGAGCATTACCTGCGAGTGTGTGTGCGTGCCAGCCTGATGATATGAAGGTGTGCGATCAAGAGGTCAGCATCAAATGTCCATCCATGACTACTCTATGAAACACAGTTGCCCCGTGGCTGAAGATGCTCTTTCCGATGTGCCATTTCACAGGAAACACATCAATAAGGCGCGATTACAAGGCTGACAAAATTAATCTCAACTGTCATTTCACAGAGCTCGGGTTTGAGAGTGCTCTGATCAAGTTACATTAGTGGAAAGCTACTGAATGATTTGGAGTGGAATCAAAATCCATTTGACTTCCCTTCTGTTTGGCAAAGGCATATCATTATCTAGAATCATTTCTTATCAGATATAAATGACATTTATGAGTGCATTACATTCCAGGCTTCAGGATTTAAAGTTAACCTATCATGATATACTTTATCTTCTGTCACATGTACAGTGCTGTGCAAAAGTCTCAAGTCACTGTTCATTTCTTTATCTTTTGCTTCCTTGGTGCAAGGTTTCTTTTGAATTTTTGAAAGTGGTCTTGATCAGTAGTTCCCAAGACTATTCCCAAGTTTTTTTCTTTTTCTTTTGGACATTGTAAGTCCAGTTATTGTACCTAACTATTTTCATTTTTTCTGAGCCACTTAATGCTGACCTATGAATTATTCAAGCATAAAAAGGGATAACTCATCCCTAACTCAAGGGATAAACCAGTGTTGTGTCTGCACAAAACAGACAACTTATCAACAAACCAGTTTCAATTGTATCTTTAGGTACTAAGTCACTAGTAGCTGTTACAAAAGCACATCATTTGTTCCCTCTTCTTTAGTTGAATCTATTACAAAGATAATACCGTTTGATAGGCATAAAACAATATATTTTCACCAAGAAGATCATTCCCAAAGAGCCAATAACTTCAAACTTAGCATTTCTCAGCATGCTGTGCAGTGTTTCCCTATAAAAGTTGAGGAAATTGGACATGTAGGGGACCAAAGAAGAACTGGCAAGCCTGAAGAATTATCTACACAAGATAAACACTATCTGAAAGTCATATCCTGAAGAAAGAGGGAAAAAATCCAGCAAAGACCTGACATGGGACCTAAGAGATGCATCTGGCCTTTCAGCTGATCTATCTACTGTTTTAATAAAGCCTAATCAGAAACAGTCTTGGTGCAAGTGTGGCTGTCAAAAAGCCAGTCTTAAGGAAGTGAGGAAAAGGTGAATATTGCTGGACTGAAAATCTGTAGCTAACAGGTTTTGTGGAGTGATGAATCCAACTTTGAAGTTTTGTTTCCAATCCAGTGTTGGAGGTCACGAGACAGGTACAAAAGTATTAGGTACAGCCAGCCTCTGTCATGGTTTGTGGCTGTGTTGGGGATCTTAACAACACTGATACAATTATGAATGCAGAAAAGTATCATCAGATCTTGATCCACCATGCAAAATTATCTGGAGTTTGGGGTCAAAAGGTAGCCAACATTCAAGAAGATGTTGCAGATTTTTCACAATGTTTCTAACAAATTATAAAGAAATGAAGGGCGACTCAAGACTTTTGCACATTATAATGTTGGATACAGTGTTGGGGAGTAACGGAATACATGTACCGCCGTTACGTATTTAAAATACAAAATACGAGTAACTGTATTCCGTTACAGTTACCGTTTAAAAAGGTGGTATTTAGAATACAGTTACTTTGTTGAAATAAATGGATTACACAGAGGTCTTTTCCCTTTCACACAGGCTCTAATGCCTGTGTCTCAATCTCGCGGCCCATGTCACCTCTACTTGCGGTCCGCATAATTACGTGAAGAAATTTTGTTTTTAAATTATTATTCAAAAAATGATTTAATATGAAGGCAATAGGCAGAGTGTTACAGGCATCGCCCTAAAGAATGTAGCATCATGGGCAGTGTAGTCTGTGCTGCAGGGAGAATGGACTGCCATACCCTGCCTCCTGCTCATATGTGTCTGTGAGCGCGAGGGAGGGAGAAAAAGTCCAAAGTATGAGGTGCTACCGACGAGAAACAGGAGATGGAAGCATGTAAATATAATAATAACCACTGCACGCTAGCAAAGTTGACCCAGTCAACAAAGTAAAGCTAGTTTTCGGCTACAACCCCGACATGAACCCGACGTATTAGCCAGAGGTCCCTTTATACAGCTCGGAGCCGCGGACCTGTTTTAGAAATGCGCGGAATAGTTTTCTATACGAGATCGCTGCAAAAAGTGCAGCCTTACCTAATGTCCACCTACTGTTACTCATTTTATATTAAGATTTAAAAATCTAGTTGGTATTGGTATGGCGAGTAACCTTAAGTAATAGTAATAAATCACACAATAATACATTCATGCAGTTGTAAAAAGCCTGACAGTATATTAAGTAATCCAAAGTATTCAGAATACATTACTCTCATTGAGTAACGTAACAGAATACAATACAAAATGCATTTTGGGGCATGTATTCTGTAATCTGTAGTGGAATACATTTTAAGAGTAACCTTCCCAACACTGGTTGGATAATAACATTTAGGTATTTGCATGTGTCAAGTAATCTTAGTGAGCCCCAAGCTAGATGTTAGGCAGATTTTATACTCTTACATCTGTATGATGTACGAAAGGGGGGGGTCTGTAATGCGATCATCTCAGGTGGACATTATGGCTTTAAGCACAGCAGCCGCACAGTGACATGTACTGGGGTAATAAGGGTGATAAGGATGTGTTCCAATTGTTTTGTCTCACCTAAAGAACAAAGAACATGGCACTTCACAGAAGACTCCTTTTCTCAACAGACCCCAGTAAATGTACCTGCTCCATAAAAACACATTTGGGTCAGAAGTGATTGGTGCAAGTGACATTATAAATGTTTGTCTTGTATTGACTGACTATATGATTTGTAACTACTGGTAACATTGTGACTAAGCTGCTCTTTAACATTCTACTAGTCTATAATTTTTTGTTGTTGTTTTTTGTTTTGTTTTAATTAATAAAAGCAGTAATAAGCAATTGTGCTGGGAGACTTTAGCAGTTTACCAACAGCAGAATAATATTTTATTCAGCTACATTATTCTACAATGTCTGGATCCCTTCATTTCCTTATGTCTTATGGGGAAAATTTGAAATAGGTGCAGCTTTTATTTAGACATATTCAAACATAGATGGAACTAGACTAAATAAGGCAAAACGGAGTATGGGTATGTTTTTACTGCTTTAAGCTACGTGTTTGACACCATTGCTGAAGCTGTTGCCAGTCAAACGCTTTCCAGATGGTACTGCACGCAAATCTGATGGTACTTTTTTGCGTTCATGATTCCATCAGTTTTGACAAGATCCCCAACAGTGCTAGCTGAAATTCAGCCCAAACCATGACAGAGCCTTCACCGTGTTTTACAGTTAGATGTAAGCCTGACGATGATTTGAACCAAACATTTAAAACTTGGATTCGTCTCTCCTCCTTTTCATAAGATGTCACCGATCTCGGCCTTTCCCTTCCTAAAGATTGGCTTTTTGACGGCTGCACGTCCACTGAGACTGTTTCTGATGAGGCTTCATTAGAACTATTAATGGAGCAACTGAATGGTCAGATGCATCTATTAGATTCCAGGTTTTTGCCAGATGTTTTCTTAATTCTTAAAGGCATGACTTTAAGCTATTGTTCATCTTCTGTAGAAGCCAAGATGCCAAGTTTTCAGTTAATCTACTGAAAACTTGACATCTTGGCTTCTACAGAAGGCATAAAATTTTAAGTTGATTACCAAAATGTGATTGCAGGTTATCTAAAAAAACGAAAAACTCTTCTGTAAATAGTCAGGTACAAGACCTGGACTGAAAATGAGAGGGAAAAGCAGCTAAAAGTAAAAAAACAAAAAAACAAAGCATTCAGAAATCCCCGAAAACTCCTGCTCAAGACAACTTTAAAAAATACCAGGAAGTTTGTCTCCTTTGAAGCAAAATATTAAAAGAATAAGGGCAACTCAGGACTTTTGCACAGCACTGCACAAATCACAGTGGGTTAACTTTTAAATCCAGGAGCCTGGATTGTAACACACTCATAAATGTCATTTGTGGCAGCCATTTTGACATGAAATTGTAGGTAAACACAAATGTCACTCACGATATTAATTAAGGCTCTGCACCTAAATATTACTGAACCCTAATTAATGTGACACCTCCTCTTAAGTATGATTTCATTTATTTCATGTCAAAATGACTGCTGTTAATTTTTTTTGTTGTACAGTTTAACAAAGTTTAATATTTAAAATAATACTCAACACTACAATACTGTTGTTAAAACTGCATATGGCAGTAGTGCCGTTTGGTGTTGTATTTTCAGCATGTAAAACTGTCATGTTTAATGGGATTTGTTTTTAACTAAATGTCACTGTCCATATTTTAGATTAAGACAAGTGAGGAAGTGATGCTTAAAGGAAAGGCAGCTTGACAGACTGCTATGTGCATATGGATCTTTAAAAAAAAACAAATATTAGGCTGTGTGTTTTTCTAGAAAGCAATATTCTGGAACAAAAAGAAGTCATTCAGCAGTCATTGTCATCAAAACAGAAATAAACTAAACCTCGGGTAACTAATTTCTTTCTTTGTCGCTGTCTTCCTTGTCCTTCATGAGCAAATCTTGACGGCTCTGTCCAGAGTAGGAAGGCAAACTCGGGACATCTGCTTCTCTGCTTCACGAAGACGTGGCAGAGATTTTGACACGGGGTATCAGGGTAATCTGACAAGACAAGCTTCATGTTTTATCGGAGCGTTCAAAAAATGTGCCGCCGTCGCTCTTGCTTGTGTCTTCCGTACATCATTCTGTCTTCTTCTTGACTGTGACGCGACACGTAGGTGGCATTGAAACGGAATGTCCTGGAAAACCGAAGAAAGAGGGGAGAAAAGGAAAGAGAGGGAAAAAGCGGGAGAGAGAAAAAGAAAGAGGAGTCAGACCCATGACCTCTTCGGCCGCACGATGTGTCTGGAGCTGGCAGGGGACGCAATTGAGAGTGACACTCCTGGTTGGAGCTGCCAAACTGCCACTTCCTGTCCTCTTTATTCACACATAGCAGGAGTTTAAGCTGGATGTTTGAAGAACGGAGAACAGACATGTGTCTCCTTGTACAGCCATCGCTTCTGACTGTCATTATTGTGGTACACAACCACTCCATCAAAGCCACGGTCTGACACGCATCTGCCAAACAAGGATGAAAAAGTAGGGGAAATGATGGGAAAGCAGTATAATGGGTCAAGATTCTCAACTGCGTGTGAGAGAGAGGGTGTTTTTCTTATAATTGACTGAAACGTGAAACTTTTGTTGTCATCACTGTTCCTTTTTCTTCAACTCTTTTCCTTTTGTTCAACGCCTCCTCTGCTCTATCATTGGATTTGGGAATCCTCGGTGGCTCAGCGCGATCAAATTGCTGCAGAATTGGAGAAATTGGACTCATAATTTTGATGTTTTGTGTTGAATAACCCTTTAACTTTGTTAGGATCAAGTTTGTCACTCTTTCTCTTGTGCTCTCTCCTTTAATGGCTTTGTTTTTCTCCTTCCTAGCATCCCTAATAATGCTTGCGCCTGAGATGGGTCACTTTCACCAATACAAATAAGATTCAAAGCCATGTGTCCAGCTGCAGGTTTTCATTGAATTCTGTCCCCTTAGGTCAAGTTTGTTTTATTTCTCTGATATTCTTTCCTGCCTTTGTCTTACCACTATATACATCTCTGTTTCTGCCCTTTTCTCTTTTTCCTGTCTCTCTCCGCACAGACACACACTATCTCGCTCGCATACACGCACACATTATCCTTGGGCTATTACCAGGATAAGTCAATTTGATCCATCCAAGGCAGTGGATGTCATTTTATTCATATATTTTCAAGCCTAGTGACTTTATTAAAGGCTACTGCTTCAATCTATCCTGAATGGATGAATGCACCCACTGATGAAACACAGGAAAAAATGAGGCCCACACAGCCTGAAATGACCACAGCCAATCAGCCTGTCATTTTCAAACATGTTCGAGAATTCTGTGTTTTATATGCAATCGAAAACAGCTTGGTGATTTTGAAGCTTTTGGCACAATGTTTTCTATTCATCTGTGAGTGAAGAGACAGAGA